GCAAGAGAATCGCTAAAGCCCAAGAGTTTGAGGTTGCTGTGAGCTACGATATCACATCCCTCTACCAAGGGTGATATAGTGAGACTGTCTCCAAAAAAAATAAAAAGAAGAAGATAACTTGAGCCTGGTGATAGAGTAAATGTGGGGACCTGCCCAAATAGAACTGCCCCACCCAAGAAGAAATGAACTAACGAATGTCCCACACAGGAAAGAGTGAATGTGCCAATCCCCACCCCTCCGACCCTTTGAATTCCCATCCACCTTAACCCACTGACTTCCTTCTCAAACTCAGCTTGCCCACACTTGGGTGGAAATAAAGGCCGATGTTGCTCACACAGAACCTGGACTCCCTTTCACTTTATTCGTGTTTCGGAATCTTATTTTCGGTCTCTGACCTCTCACCCAGGAGTTTGAGGTTGTTGTGAGCTATAACACCATGGCACTCTACCCAAGATGACTTAGACTCTGTCTCAAAAAAACAAACTGCTAATGGTATTTTGGGTAGTGGTTTTAGCTTTGTTTCAATGAGCTCCCAGGATGTGTAGAAACCAGCAAAGTACCTGCCTTGGTGCAGCTCTACATCAGGGCTTCTAACAGATGGGTCTGCACAGAAAGCAGAGATGGGCTTGGATATACTTTCCAAAAACATTCCTGGGTTTGGAAATGCTGATGAGCCATGTATGTGCTCATCAAACCCTGATCCTAATCTTTTCTTGCTTCATAAGGTCACCTTGAGAAACCATATCCTACCTACCATGTCTTGCTTGCTAGCAGGACAACTTACAGGAACAGCCCCAGGGTGGAACTTACTCTTACTCTGGAATATTTAGCCTTCCCCACAGGATTCCAGCAGCCCTTTTCTCTATCCTGTCTGCTGAAGTGCAAAGTTTGCCTTTAAACTTTGTTGAGGCTGGGTGTTGTGACTCACTCCTGTAATCCCAGCACTCTGGAAGGCCGAGGAGGGCAGATTGTTTGAGCTCAGGAGTTTGAGAGGATCCTGAGCAAGAGCAAGATCCCATCTCTACTAAAAGTACAAAAACTAGCTGGGTGTTGTGGCGAGAGCCTATATAGTCCCAGCTATTTTGGAGGCCGAGGCAGATGAATCTCCTGAGCCTAGGAATTTGAGGTTGCTGTGAGTTAGGCTGATGCCAGAGCTACATAGACACAAGGATTCATGGCTCACACCTGTAATCCTAGCACTCTGGAAGGCTGAAGCAGGTAGATTGCTTGAGCTCAGAAGTTCAAGACCACCCTGAGCAAGAGAGAGTCCCTGTTTGTATTCAAAGTAGAAAAATTGGCCAAGCATTCTGGCAGGTACCTGTAGTCCCAGCTACTTGGGAGGCTGAGTCAGGAGGACCACAGATCACATAAACCCTGGAGTTTGAGGTTTCTGTGAGTGAGGCTGATACCTATGCTGGGGCAACCGAATGAGACTGTCAAAAAAAAAGAAAAAAGCCCGTAGATTTTAATACTTACTTGCCAGAATGGGTTCCTCCATACACCCTCACCTTCCCATATGTTGACATACAGGGCTTAAGCAGTACACATTTAAGCTACCTGGCAGCTTGGAAAGATCCTGAAGCCTAGGCTGTACCCTAAATCAAGTACATCTTGATCTCTAGGGGTGAGGCCCGGGCCTCAGATTTAAAGGTCCCCAGAGGATCCCTGCAGGAAGGTTACAAACCACTACTTTGGAAGCTTTGATTAGCTCTCTAATGTGCAATCCCTTCGGCAAGGGGTGGTCTTTTTAAAAATGGAGATTCTGGCTTGGCGCCGGTGGCTCAAGCGGCTAAGGCGCCAACCATATACACCTAAGGTGGCAGGTTCGAATCCCCAGCCTGGGCCCGCCAAACGACAATGATGGCTGCAACCAAAAAATGGCCAGGCGCTGTGGTGGGCGCCTGTAGTCCCAGCTACTTGGGAGGAAGAGGCAGGAGACTCGCTTGAGCCCAGGAGTTGGAGGTTGCTGTGAGCATGATGCCATGGCCCCTCTGCCCAGGGGGCAAGCTTGAGGCTCTGTCCCAAAAAAAAAAAAAATGCAGATTCTGATTTACCACATCTGAGATGAGGCCTAAGCATCTGCATAGCTAGTGAACTCCCAGGTGGGGCAGATACTGCCTTCCTCTGACTTCCAGGGGATCCTGTAAGCTTCCAGACCCAACACTGCTGAGTCTCCTCAACAAGAGCTATGCACCCCTCGCAGAAAGTAGGATCAGAGATGGCTTACCTCACCCTTTAGGTGACTCTTCACCCCTTTTCCTGGCTTGAGTTAAGACAAAGGCATGCCTCTCCCAGGAAGCCTGTGCCAAGCCACCAACAGCATTAGTCTCTTCCAGTTTCCCTTGGGTGAACTCGAGGCTTCCAGCTGTGGCCAGTCATTTAGAGACTCTCTGAAGCTTTCCTTACTGAGACCTCCACCCACACCTTGACGAATTGCTTCTGGACGCTGCTGCTTCCTTTCTCCCACTGAAAAGCCACACGAGGAAGGCAGAAACACATTTCTGCCAACTCTCACTGTGTTCAAATTACTTTCATGTGGCAGAATCCCTGCCTTGTGTCTCCAGAAAGGAAGCTGTTATGGGCATCAAATGGTTGTCATAAAATCTATATTTTGTTGCGCCCCCTCCCATGGCTGGTGGTTTTCTTTTCTTTTTTTCTTTTTGAGACAGAATCTCACTTTGTTACGCTCAGTAGAGTGCCGTGGTGTCACAGCTCACAAGAACCTCCAGCTCTTGTGCTTAGGTGATTCTCTTGCCTCAGCCTCCCAAGTATATGGGGCCGGTGCCCTAGTCATTGAGCCGCAGGTGCCGCCTGGCTGGTGGTTTTCAAAAGAATATTTTATTGTCCCTCTTCTTCTATCTCATTAATGAAGGGGGGATTGGTTTGGGCCACTTTTAGGGATCACACACATTTAGATATAGGCATCTGGGATTTCATGAAGCTGAGCATGATTTAATATTCACGGTCTTTTTTTTTTTTTTTTTTTATTTCATGGCCTTAAAACATATTCTCCCGAAGTTGTGACCTACCTGGGCACAGTCTGGCCCAACCCACCCCAACTCTCCTTCCTGCCTACCTTGTCCCTGCAGGTGCAGTGTCAGGGAAGGACCAGCAGAGGGCAGTGCAAGCCCCACAGTCAGAGATGGTTCCTTGGGTCCCAACCCCTGTGGATTCTTCTTTGGGAAGCCACTGGTGACTTTAGTGGGGACCCCAGCATCCTATTTGAGTTTGAGTAAGAGCCAGCGCTGCCCCAACAGACTTCTGATCAACATCTGCCTGCAGTTTTCTCCACATCCTGATCTCATTTATAAAGTCAGAACTGCTATAAAGCAGAGGGTGGGCTGGGCTGTGTCCAGGAGGGCAGCTAGTGAGGTTCTGGGGAAAAGATGGGAGTCAGCCAACAGAGATCAACCACCATTTCCCTCAGTTTTGGAGCACAACTCTGAAAAAACAAAAGTATATCTTGAAAATGTGAAAAATACTAACTCCTTTGAATTCTTTAACTCAGCCTTATACCTGCCCGCATTTTACCACCTCCATTCAGGTCACCAGTGCCCTCCACTGGCAAATGCTAGTCTATTCTCTTATCACTTGACTCCTCCAGCCCCACTAGACGTAGTCACCAGTGATTTTATACTTGAAATACCTTCTCAGTTCCAGATACTCCTAGGAAATCCCCTAGGGCAGCAGTTCTCAACCTGTGGGTTGAGACCCCTTTGTTCCCTTTGCAACAATGCGTCAATTAGGAAGGTTGAGAACCACTGTCCGAGGGTGAGGTCTCTGCCACCAGAGCAGCTTCACTCTTTTTTAGGTTTAAATATCAAGGTTACATGTAAGATTTGATTTGAAAAAAGGAAGCTTCAGCTTTTGAAAGAAAATTGTCGCTGGTTAACTCCCACCCTTCTGCCAATAATAATTTGCTACAATTCCTCCTCCAGCTCAGAAGTCCTCTATAAATATCATATATGACCATGGATTGCTGACTGTGAATGTTACAAAGAAGGAAGTTACTTGGATAATAAGTATACACTGCAAACCCTAGGAAAGAAAGAATGTAAGCAATGAATGCATATATATGTATATTTGCATATACATGTAACATGTACATAGCCCCGCTGGAAAACAAGAAAGAGAACTCTTGGTGGATCAGAGAAATTCCCAAAGGTGGGAAAGCAGATGGGACTGGATTGAACTTGAAGTCCAGAGAACAGTTGTAAGGTCCCCTGCTAATAGGGGGTATACCATCCAGGGTACTTCGTACCCATAGGAGAGGGGTGGCCTTACAGGCAAGAGCAGACAAGTTCCGGGTTGATTCATTGGGATACCTGAGTGGGAGCAACCAGGCCAGTCAACCCTCACCTAACTTGAGGCTCTACCACTAGCCAGATAAAAGCAACAAGTGTCTGCTTCCATGTGGGAAGGTAAGTGTGGCATCTTGGGAGAAGTATCAATGTCTGAGAGTCCGATACACAGAACAGATATAGCATACTCAGCAAACAGAGGCTTCCAACAGGGGTTCTCACCTACAAACATGAGCCCACATTCACCAATCACCAAGCACTTGAAGAAAGCCATGTCCATAGAATGAAAGCATTTGTATTTGTCAAAATCAAAATATACAGATCTGGAAAGTGAGAGTTCATCACTGAAAATGCCTGAGACTGAAGACAAAAAAGAGCTTTAACTGCGCAACATGAGGACTGAGAGCGTGCTCAGAGAAGACATCACCTGTAAATCTAAGTAAAACCCTCCATCTAGGGAAGGAAGACAGAGACACTCCCCCTCGACAGATGAAGAGGGACGTGCCCTCCATTCTGGAAAGAGGCCCAAGCTCCCAACCATCTCCACATACATCACACTTTCCCTGACTGAAGGGAGCAGACCACCCCAGAAATAAGCTGCTTCAGGGGTGCTTCTGCCTTGGAATTCAGCCTGGAAAACCCCTCGCCTGCCAATAGGCCACCAAGATTACTACGTTTGCAGAATCATTTGAACTTACATCCTCCCACTTTTATATCCTATTTATTGTATTTTGGGGACAAGACTTTTAATTCAGCCTCTTTGCCTGTTTTTGTAAACCCCAAGTAGCAAAACTCTGGTGCAAAGGAAATTGAGAAGCCTAGTTAAAGTCTATAAGATACAAACTCACACAAAAGTCACCCTCCTAAAGCATTAAGGGCAGGTGGGAATATAACTGCCCCCGATTCTTCTTGTTCATGAGAATTTCCCCTTCTATACCGCTCTCCCGACTTGGACAGAAGGTGACACCTGACCTCACGGATGCTTAGGGGATGCATAGTCTGTTCAGGCAGCCCTTTTCCAGCCACAGACCAGGACAACTAAGGGGAGGCTGAGGGACGCTAACTACAGTTCAGATGGCAGGAGATGTCCTCAGAAGGCTGTGTCCTCAGCTTGGACCCGGGGCCCAAAGAGCTGGTTGGCAACAACTTTGCCATCATATTTGGGCAGCGTGCCCCCAAAGTCAGAGGGCAGGATGTTCTCATCAATCTCCTGGAAGAAGTCAGAGAGGTCATCCCCATGGACAAAGACCTGCAGGGACAAGGGAGGCACAGCTGAGCAGGAGGTGCTCAATGAGAGATGAGGCAGGCAAGAGGACAGACCCCCACTGTGCCATCTATGGCTGGTGACATCCCTCTCTATGGCCCCATATACTGTGCTGTCAGTGGCATTCACTCAGTTCGGGACCATAGTACAAAGTGTGAGGATGACTGCAGATAGGACCCTACTCCACCCTCTTATCTCAGCAGCTCCTTTCTGCTCCTGCCCACATCTGCTCACTGATTTACTTGCTGAGCACCTTCCCTAGTCAGAACATGCACTCACCCTCTGGAGCAGCTTGCTCTTCAGGAAGGGTTTGACCACATTATAGGTCGTGGTGAAGTACCATGGCTGGTGGATGAAGTGGATGGCTTTGAACCGGGCTGGGAAGGAATCCTATAATGACAGAGAACAATCCTCACCCCAGGGCCCCAGCGACCTCAGAGGCTCCCACCCAGCCCCCATCGCCTCTCCCCACAACATAAGGACAGATGGGGCCAGCATACATGATTTTCCTGCAGGAGAACCCACTAAAGGATCCATACTTGGACCAGCAACTAGGGAGCCTCAGATCCATCCTGGCTCCAAACTGTAGGGAAGAAGTCCCAGAAGTCATACAGCCCAACCCTATTCCACTGATGCAAAAAACACTGGAATTCGGTAAAGAAATTTAAATGGTAGCATTGCTTGTTTTTTTTTTTTTTTATTGACTGATTTTTCTTCAAACCCACTTACCTGCTGAGCATACTGCAAATTCTTATAGGCCTCGGGGAAACCACCGTTCTGCCTCCTTGTCCTTCAGTTCCTCCCAGGACTCACCCCTCCTTTCCCAGAAACCCACAGAGCAGATCTAGGGTAGCTTTGAGAAAGGACTCCTGACACGTCCATACATGTATGTAGAACTGAGTTTTCAAGGAGGGTTGGTGATATCTCTTTCTCAGGGTAAATCTACATTCGAAGAGAGGCAGCATGATATATGTGGATGGAGAGCATGGGATTCCTGGTCAGAAGATACACATTCAAGTTTGGTCTCTACAACTTTATTGCTATGTGACCTTGACAAGTCATTTAAATTTCCGAGCCTGGGTTTCCAGGTTTATACAATGAACCAGGGCAGCTGGGAGAGAATGCTGCTGAGGAGTCAATAACAAATATGAACGTGAATACTTGCACGTTGTCTTGGTTGGGATTATGGCTGTCAATGCTCTTTATGGCTCTAAGTGGTCGATTTCTCAGGTCCCTACCAGTACCCTGAAACCAAGAAACCAGGCCAACCTCTCAGCCTCCCCATCTGTGAGAGGCTCCTGTGGGACAGGCTCCTAATGCCTCACCTGGAGCATGTCCACCATCTTCTTGAGATCAGAAGTCCGGAGCCCAGAAGCCTGCTGCATGGTAAAGCCCTTGAAGTTCTCAATGATGCAGAAGCCATTAATCTGAGTTTCCTCATTCTCCAGTAGCTTCTCTAGGATGAAGCAATAGGCCTGCAAGATCTTGAGCACAGAGGGAATAGTCTGTAAGATCCAACTCATAAAGATAATTAAGGTTCAAGTTTCTAAGGGGAGAGCTAACTGATAAATTCTTTACTTGAGGTAATTTGTCAAAGGATTTGTCCATATGGGGCATTCTGCCTCTGTGAATGATACCAAGAAAAAGATCTTGAGGCCGGGTGCGATGGCTCTTGCCTGAAACCTTAGCACTCTGGGAGGCTGAGTTGGGATGATCCCTGAAGCTCAGGAGTTTGAGACCAGCTTGAGCAAGAGGGACACTCTGTCTCCAAAAATAAAAAAAAATTGGCTGGGCATTGTAGTCCCAGCTACTCAGGAGACTGAGGCAGGAGGATCACCGTAACCCAGGAGTTTGAGGTCACTGTGAGCTAGGCTGACACGATGGCAATCTAGTCTGAGCAACAGAATGAGATTCTGTCTTTAAAAAAAAAAAGGAGGACGGCGCCTGTGGCTCAAAGGAGTGGGGCACCAGCCCCATATGCCGGAGGTGGCAGGTTCAAACTCAGCCCCGGTCAAAAACTAAAAAAAAAAAAAAAAAAAAAAAAAAAAGACGAAGAAGAAGAAAAGAGATGAACCTTTTTTTTTTTTTTTTTTTTTGAGACAGAGCCTCAAGCTGTCCCCCTGGGTAGAGTGCCGTGGCATTACAGCTCACAGCAACCTCCAACTCCTGGGCTCAAGCGAGTCTCCTGCCTCTGCCTCCCAAGTAGCTGGGACCACAGGCGCCTGCCACAACGCCCGGCTATTTTTTGGTTGCAGCCGTCATTGTTGTTTGGTGGGTCTGGGCTGGGGATTCGAACCCGCCACCTTAGGTATACATGGCTGGCGCCTTAGCCGGTTGAGCTATAGGCGCCGAGCCAGGGATGAACTTTTTAAAAAGTCACTTTGAAGATTGGTGCCTATAGCTCAAGTGGCTAAGGTGCCAGCCACATACACTGGAGCGGGTGAGTTCAAACCCAGATTGGGCCTCCCAACTATGACAACTGCAACAACAACAAAATAGCTGGGCACTGTGGCCGGTGCCTGTAGTCCCAGCTATTTGGAGGCTGAGGCAAGAGAATCACTTAAGCCCAAGAGTTTGAAGGTACTGTGAGCTGTGATGCCACGACACTCTACCGAGGGTAACATAGTGAGACTCTGTCACCAAAAAAAAAAAAAAACAAGTAGCTTCAAGATGAGGGCTGGGCATGGTAGCTCACACCTGTAATCCTAGCACTCTGGGATGCCGAGGCAGGTGGATTGCTTGAGCTCAGAGTATGAGACCAGCCTGAGCAAGACCAAGACCCCATGAGTATGAGACCAGCCTGAGCAAGACCAAGACCCCATCTCTACAAAAAATAGAAAAACTAGCCGGGCGCAGTGGCTCACGCCTGTAATCCCAGCACTTGGGAGGCTGAGGCAGGTGGATTTTCTGAACTCATAGGTTCAAGACTAGCCTGAGCCAGAATGAGACCCTGTCTCTAAAAAATAGCTGGGCGTTGTTGCAGGTGCCTGCAGTTTTAGCTACTTGGGAGGCTGAGGCAAGAGGATGACTTGAACCCTAGACTTGGAGGCTGCTGTGAGTTAAGACACCATGGCACCCTGTCAGGGTGACCAAGTGAGACTCTGTCTCAAAAGAAAAAAAAAAAAAACTAACTGGGTATTATGGTGGGTGCCTGAAGTCCCAGCTACTCAGAAGGCTGAGGCAAGAGGATCACTTGAACCCAAGAGTCTGAGGTTGCTGTGAGCTATAATGCCACAGTACTCTACCCAGAGCAACAGAGTTAGATTCTGTCTCTAAAAAAGAAAAACAAAAGGCTTTGAGACTAGATAGTATTTTGTAAAATGAGTTTGTACTTTTTTTTAATTAAAAAAAATCTTTTTCATGCTCAGTGGTACATGCCAAAGTTTTCTCAGACAAACCCTAAATCCCCACTTGGGGAAGCCCTCTTAAGGTCTCAGACAAGAAAAATTGCCTACATATAAGTACAAAAAACTCAGGTTTCTAAATAGTTTGGAAGCTCTGTGCTTTCCAGAATCTCTTTTAGCCCCCAATCCACTAATTTCTGTTCTGTTTCTCTTGGCTTTTAGCATTTGGCTGCGCCACCCGGGCTTGTGGCCCACAGCTGTTACTCCCACTTAGTGCTTGATGGGAATATTTGAGAATAGTCATGTACTATTTATTGGTCCGCAGGTCCCACCTGTAAAGTTTCTGAGTTTTTTTTTTTTTTCTTTTGAGACAGAGCCTTTAGCTGTCCCCCTGGGTAGAGTGCTATGGCATCACAGCTCACAGCAACCTCCAACTCCTGGGCTTAAGCAAGTCTCCTGCCTCCGCCTCCCAAGTAGCTGGGACTACAGGCACCCGCCACAACGCCTGGCTATTTTTTGGTTGCAGCCATCATTGTTGTTTGGCGGGCCTGGGCTGGATTCAAACCCACCACCTTAGGTGTATGTGGCTGGCGCCTTAGCCACTTGAGCCACAGGCGCCGAGCCAAGTTTCTGAGTTTTGCAGCTGCCCTGGACATCCTAGGAATTTTTCCCCTGCCTGAAAAGGGTCTGGTGGCAAAGTGACTGTCCACCTTTCCTTTTCACAGACCTCAGCTCCTCGGGAGCCAGGAATGAGATCCCAAGCATGGTGGAGGCACCTGTAATCCCAGCTGTCCTGGAGGCTGAGGCAAGAGACTCACTTGAGCCCAGGGGTTTGAGGTTACAGTAGAGGCCAAGATTGGGAAAGGGAGCCCAGCCCATGGAGTGAGAATGAACCAAGTGAACCCCCAATGACCTCGTCAAAGGTGATTTCATGACTTTGCCAGTTCTCAATGTTGAAGACCACGACCACTCGGCCATACTTGTCCCGACTGGAGAGGACACCAGGGTAGCCAGCCTCAATGGTGCAGCGGACAGCCTCCAGGCACAGGCTATCAAAGAGCTCAGGGTACTGCAGCCGGAAGTTCACATAGCCTGGAGGAGAGAGAGCCAGGGAGGAACCTCTTAAGGAGCCATCCCATCCTTACTGCATCCCACCTAGAGGGAGTCAGAGAACTGATCTCTTCCAGGCTCTTCCACATATGTCTGGTGTGTAATGAAGCCAGATACTCAACCTATGTGACTCCAATGTTTTCTCTCCCAAAAGATTGTATAATAATATTGGCTTATCTTCACCAAATTGTTGTGGTAATCAAATGAGACTCAAGGTCTGTACACTGTAAAAACATGAGGTATGGGCCAAGTATGAGGACAATTTTTAGTTATTTTCTTTCCCATGGGGACAAAGCACAGGTTTTTCACTGGGCACAGGGTTAGCTGAGTGGAGGTGTGAGCAAGGCTAGAGAGGAGCCCCTGAGATAAAATCCAAACCCCAAGCAGGACAGAGGCCCTTCTTCCTGATTTCAGCAGCACCTCTATTGCCCACGAACTCCATCCTTACCCATCTTGAAGAGGCCCCTGCCTTTGGGATGCTTGCTGTCTGTACAACCAGACTTAAGCCCCAAGAGGGGCCGGGCCCAGAGAAGATGTTTGGGAAGTGATGGCCAAGGGAATGCCATACCATCCTCCTCACTGTTCTAGAACACTCCAGGGACATCCCACCACCTTGAGCTGTCTTCGCTGTTCCCTCTCCCATGATTGTCCTTCCTCACAGATGTCTCTTCTCTGTCAGGTTTTTCTTCAAAAGTTCTCTTGGCAGTGGTCTTTCTGACCATGTTACCTAAAACCTCAACCCCTTGAGCCTTTATGCCCCCCTCTCTTACTTTTCTCTCTATTCTTTATCTAACATTCTATATATAATAGAACCTCCATAGCTGATTACATTGACCACGTCCTCAAGCTGACCTAATTTTCATAGACTGGACATGCACCACATGTATGTATCAGTATAGCAGGCCTACTTCCTTGTTTTTGACCACCTCCATATGTTGACTCGTTTGTTGTGGTCCTTTGGTGGTCAGCTTACAGAGGTTCTGCTGTATTTTTTATCTTACTTATCTGGTTTATTATTTCCACTATTAGAATATAAGGTCCATGAGGGAAGGGGATTCTTGTCTGTTTGGTTCTCTGTTGCATCCTTTGGCCTAAAACAGTGGTCAGTACAGCATGCCATGGAATTAACATTTGAGGAAGAAGGAAGACAAGGAAAATCATTAGCCTGCAAAGGGCCTGTTCAACCTTTTCCTTCCCAGCACCAAAGATTGATTTTTTTTTTTTTTTTTTTTTTTTAGGGAACATCTTCAACCATCCAGCAATGCCAAGGCCATTCTGTCCCTGGGGCTCTTTCCCAGGGCTGGCACCATCTTCTGTTCCTCCATACATGAGGTTTTGGTAACTTTGGTGAGCAAGCCATGCATCTACCTTCATGTATCATTCCAGAGCCAAAGCCTAGGTTCTGAGTGTGGGTGCTGGAGGGGAAACTCCTTCTCTCATCACCCACATTGGGTGCCCCAGTTCTACTCATTGAGTCCCAAGACGGGGAGAGAGGAGAGAGGAGCCAGACCTCTAGGAATCAGGTCCTGAAATACTCCTTTCATTTGTTCATTCATTGTCAGAGCTGAAAGGGAACTTGAAGGCTATTTAGTTCACACACACACCCATTTTACAGGTAAGGATACTGAGGCTCAGAGAAACTGACTTGCCCACAGCAGACCTCCTCAGTGCCTGGGCAAGGGTGAACTGTCTTCAGGACCTCCTCCTGACTTCCCAGGGCTGTCCCTCCTGTGCAGGCCTCACCTCTGAGCAGCTCATAGGCTCGGCTCACGTTGAATTTCCGCGCACGGATGAAGCGCAGGAAGAAGGCACTGTCCTTTTCCCGCACCCTTTCAGCCACAGCCAGAGCCAGCTCCTCCCCAGAAGCCGCCTGCGTCTGCACCAGCTCCTGCAGCTCTCGCACAGCCTCCTCGCGAGTCTCCTCCCTTTCATTCAGCTCATCTTTGGCCTGGAACAGGGTAGGGTGTGGGCACCGAGTGAGAGATAGGAGCCTGTGAGGCAGTCGCATGAGTGATGAGTCTCCCACCGGAGCCAAACTGGCTCAGAGAGACAAGGGATCTGCAGCGGGGAGACCCACGGAAGCAGTATCTGCATCGGCAGCACCTCAGATTGTTCTATTTGGAGAAAACTAGGTCGAACTGCTCATCCTGGGTTTGTTTGCAGGAGATAGTCAACTGTATAAAAGCTTCTAACAATAACTGCCTGTACTTACTGAGCCTTTACTTGGCACCCTGCTGAGTCCTTTGAATGCACTGTTTTTTAAATCTTTGCTATGATTCTCCATGGTTGGTATTCTTTTTTTTTTTTTTTTTTTTTTTTTTTTTTGAGACAGAGCCTCAAGCTGTCCTCCTGGGCAGAGTGCCGTGGCATTACAGCTCACAACAACCTCCAACTCCTGGGCTCAAGCGAGTCTCCTGCCTCTGCCTCCCAAGTAGCTGGGACCACAGGCGCCCGCCACAACGCCCGGCTATTTTTTGGTTGCAGCCATCATTGTTGTTTGGCGGGTCCGGGCTGGGGATTCGAACCCGCCACCTTAGGTGTACGTGGCTGGCGCCTTAGCCGGTTGAGCTATAGGCGCCGAGCCCCATGGTTGGTATTCTTATCCCTATCTCTCAGATGAGCACACTGAGGCTCATAAAGATATTCCTGCCCACAGTAACCTAGATAGGGGTGGAGCTGAAATTCCTACTCGCTCTACTGCCTCCCAGGCTTGATTCTGATCTTTTCAAAAACATCCCTCCACCCCAGCAGATGGCAACCTGCCTGCTTCCCCAGAGCCTCACGTTCCTCCCTTTTGCTGGGCCAGAACTCAGGTGTTCCTGGGGCAGCTGTCTCCTGGACAGCATAATGAGGAAGGTGGAGGTGGTCAAGTGAGATGGAACTAATAGCACCTTTCCCTTGAGATGCTCCTGGAAGCAGAGAGGGAAGCCAGGAGTCCCAGCTCAGCTCAGCTGCTTCTCATCCTCCCCAGCAAGCCCAAGACACCTCTGCCAGCCTCCATGGAGCACAGTCTGATCATCTCTGAGCTAATCCAACAACCATTTTTCATAGGTAAATAAGGCAAGACTCAGAAAGAAAGCAATTTGCTTGAGGTCACACAGCAAGTTGGAAATAGGTCTGGTTTTGGCCTCCCGCCTATCCAGCAGAGGTAGAAGTTCCCCAGGATCACTTCCAAACCAGTGCTTCTCTGATCTAAGTCTAGAATGATTCCTACTCTAGCGGCTCCAGGCTGTAGTCTTAGATTAGGCTAGCCTGAGTGTCTGGGCAGCCCAGTTACTCCCATAGACCTGACCTCCAGGATGGCCCCTAGGACAGGCCAGTCTGTCAGGTCCAAGATGACCCAGAGACCCAGGTTTATAGGAGAGAGGATGCTATCATATTCCCCTTATGTTGCTTCCCTGGGCTGTTCCTCTCCACACCCCTGGCCATCTTACCTTTTGCAAGGTGTGGCGGGGCAGTTGGCTGCATTGGCCAAAGACAGGCCCATGGTCCTTGGTTGTGAGCTGCTCCAGTTGGGCACGGAGCTCCTGTTCCTCTTCGGGGACCACACGGTATGTGCCCACCTGGGCAGAAGAGAGTTAAGAAGAAGTGGGAACATCCCCCCAGCATCTTGACTAATCAGGGAAATGGGCCTTCTCAGAAACTATACAAGTGCTTTTGCTCAAGATCATTGTTATGACTCCCACTATGCAGGGGTCAGAGCTAATGGACAGGTTGTAGGGGTGTGTGCCTATAATGCTGGGCAGAGGAGGTGATAGAGAAGTAGGGAAGAAGGGAGAGAGTGAAAGGGGGAAAGGTTGGGAAAGGAGAGCTTTAGGGTACAGGGTACTCACCCCCTCTGACATACTGTCTCTGGAAGACTCTTAAGTCCTTGGGTAAAGAAGTGCCTGCTTCCTCTGTCCTGGCCTCTCTAGGTGTCCCCTTCCCTAGGAGAAGAAGTCAGGGCTGCAGTTATTAGAGAAACCATTCTGCTATTGTCTAGAATTGTGGGTCCCAAACTTTGAATTGCATCGGAATCACCTAGGGCATCTGTTAGAAATGGAGGTCCCTGGGCCATGATTCTGACTCTGGAGATCTGGCCTAGGCCCCAGGAATCTGCCATTGGAAGCACTCCTGGGCGGCTCGGAAAAAGATGATTTTTGGACTACAAAAACCAAAAAATAAAAGCAGTATTTTGGGGAACTACTGCTTTGAGAAGGGGCATATACCAACAAGTACCTCAGTCCTCAGCTATTAAGATGAGTTGGCCCAGCCAAGAATATACTAGAGTTGGACTCCATTCTCATTTACTTTATTACTATAGGATAAGGCAATCCCTCCTCCCTTCTATGGCCATTCTTCCCCACCCCAAAAAGACTACCTCAGAAACCTCCCAGCCTGGTGGATGACCCTTTCCCCTGTGCATTCATTCTTTGGAAGGGTGATGACCAGTTACATAATCATAATACTGCGTGTGTGTTCTGTGCTTTGTGATGCACTAAATATTTTCAGATCCATTATCTCAGAGCCAGGGCTGGCATGATTCCCATTTTATATGGGAGGAAATAGGGCCAGGAGAATAAATGACTGGTTCAAGGTAACACAGCCAAAAATAGCCAGGGATGAGGACTCAAACCCAAGTTGTGACTTCCTGTCAGTACCTAGAGGAAGACTGGTGCAGCTCAAAAGTCAGATCTGGGTTCAAATTCTGCCTCTTCCACTTGTAGGCTGTTGTTATTTAACCCAAGTCCTCGTTGTCTTCTATAAAATGGGATGGAAGGGTTATGAGATGTAACTAAATCATATATATGTCGGCAGTGCTTGGCCCCTGGAACAAATGGCATCCACAGCCTACATGATAGCCTGCTTCTCCACTGGGTGTTTTTGGAGACAGTTCTTCTGTTTCCAGGTTTCCTTGCCTCCCACCTAAAAGCCCCAGTGCCTTCAATGACCCTTCACCATCTCCTGCCTTCGACCAGGTTGCTTTGGTCAGTTTGATCACCTAGTCATAGCTAGTAAGTCACAGAACTGAGACATGAATCTGTGCCTACCTGACACCAAGTTTGTTTGTTTGTTTTTTTTTTTTTTTGAGACAGAGCCTCAAGCTATCCCCCTGGGTAGAGTGCCATGGCATCACACTCACAGCAACCTCCAACTCCTGGGCTCAAGCGAGTCTCCTGCCTCAGCCTCCCAAGTAGCTGGGACTACAGGCGCCCGCCACAACACCCGGCCATTTTTTGGTTGCAGCCATCATTGTTGTTTGGCGGGCCCGGGCTGGGGATTTGAATCTGCCACCTTAGGTGTATGTGGCTGGCGCCTTAGCCGCTTGAGCCACAGGCGCCGAGCCACCAAGTTTGTTTTGACACCTAAAGCCAAGACATCTATAGGCAAACTCCCTAGAAGAGCTGGTGTCATAGAAACCTTGAATGTCAGGGAGATGTGGGTTTGAAACAGGCTTTGCCATTTGCCACCTGTAAGACCCTAGTAAGTTATTTAACCTTTCTGGACCTCACCTGCAAATTGAAAATAATAACAGTACCTACCAAAAAGAATTGTCACAAAGACCATATGATTTGTGCAATTATTATTGGGCCTGGCACAATGTCTTGCTATACAACCTAGTTCCCCTTCCCTTTTTTAGCACCAAGTTTATCCTCACCCTAACTTGCACAAAGAGACTTGGAGGATCCCAGGGAATATCTGAGGTTCTCCTATCACTTCCCCTCCCAATATTGCCCCAGCAAGGACAGGGAAGTTCTGGGGTTGTGATCCATCCACAGGACCCAAATCTACTCCATCTTCCTGGCCAGCATCTGTCCAGATACGTGGGCATAGAGACAGACAAACTGGAATGGTGCTGTGCTATCTTATCACTTGGGCTTTGTTGGAACGGGAGTGGAGAGGCTAACAGAACTGTCCCTTGGAGCTTAGACAGGAGTGACAGTGTGGCTGGACAACCCCAGCCAGTTAAGCAGATCATTGGAAAAGGATCCTAGATCTTTAAAAGTCTAGGTTAAAGTCAGTTCAGTAACTCTTTTCTAAATATACTCAAGCCATTAACTTTGATTTTTAAAAATATGAACTTACAAACTATATACAATAAAAAAAAAATGCCTACCCCTTGCACCACTTCCATGCTATTCCCTGTCATCTGGAGCTTCCAGTTAAAATACAGAATGCCCACTTAAATGTGAATTTCAGAGGAACAAACACTTTTTTAGCATAATTTTGCATGGGTCACATTTAACTGAGTGTCCTATATTTTTATTTGCTCGATCTGCCTTTAGATTGGTTTGACTCAACTTGGAGAATGGTCCGTTGTTTTACAGGCAGCCTGGGTTGTGGTATCCCCACCCCTTAACTCCTCACCCCAGTCCTGGGCTCCCTGGTCCAGCTAGGCCCTTAGTATCAACTTACCTACCAGGTCAGCAGCTCCTCCTTGGGGCCACCTGGTACCTGGATTGTCCTGGAACTCTGAAGGTAGGCTCCACTGGAGGCGTGGTCCAGTCAGCAGGTTGGGATTAGTGTGTCACAAGGAACTTCTCACCACCCAGTTTCCGTTAAATCGGGCTCACAGGAGGCCCAGAGTCGGGTAAGGGAAGAGCTGGGGGGAGAGGGGAGAGGCCTGGGCCTGGCTGGAGATGCATCAAAGCCCTCCTTTGTATTCTCCTGCTCAGCCATGTGGAAGCTGGGCCGTGGGGCTGGGATCTGGGCCAACCTTGTTGCCTTCTCTTCTCTGCCTTCTCCTTCCTCAAGATCCCAGGGGTGTCGAGAGAGCACCCCCAGCATAAGACATGCAAAGAGATGAAGGGAAACAGTAAATGTAATTACAGATGTAATGGCAGCTCTGACAAACCCAGGTTTGTTGCCCACCCTCTCCCCCAGCCTGCAGTGGGGGGTAGTTCTTGCCTCCACAGTGAAGTTGGTCAGCTGGGAAATTTAGCTGGTGAAGGCCAAACAGGGAGAGGACAGGACAGGCAGACCCATCTTCTTATTCTTTTTTTTTGAGACAGAGTCTTATTCTGTTGCCCAGACTCATCAGCCTAGCTCACAGCAACCTCAGACTTCTGGGTTCAAGTGATCCTTCTGCCTCAGCCTCCCAAGTAGCTGAGACTACAGGCACCTGCCACAACTCCTGGCTAATTTTTATTTATTTATTTACTTACTTATTTGTTTTTGAGACTGAGTCTCACTCTGTTGAAACTGGGTAGAGTTTCATGTTGTCATAGCTCATAGCAACCTCAAATGCCTTTGTAACAGTGATCTTGCCTCAGTTTCCCAAGTAGCTGGGACTACAGGTGCCAGCCATAACACCTGGTTAATTTTTCCTATTTTTAGTAGAGACAGGGGTTTCACTTTTGCTTAGGCTAGTATTGAACTCCTGAGCTTAAGCAATCCACCTGCCCTGGTCTCTCAGTGTGCTAGGATTACAGGCATGAGTCACAGTACCCAGTCAATTTTTCTATTTTTAGTAGAGATGGAGTCTTGCTCTTGCTCAGGCTGGAGATCCATCTTCTAGACAGTGTGGTGCAGTCCAAGGGGAGGCAGCTGGGTGTGTACTCTGGAACCAGACTTCCCACTTTAAATCCTTGCTCAGAACCTTCCAGCTGTGAGAAGTTATTTCACCATTCAGTTACTCAATCTCCTCCTCTGAAAAGTGGGAATGACTAGAGGATCAGGCTCATGGCGTTAGTAAGGATGAAATGGCAGCAAAGTGCTTAGCTCAGGTGCTTAGCTGTCTGGTGCTTAATAAGTACTCAGTAAGTGCTGTCACTCCAAATACAGAATCAATAGACACCTAGCTGGAGAAGACTCATACACGTAGTGTCGTAGTGTCATAGTGTTTGACTCTCTCTACAGTATGAACTCCTGCTGCAGGCCCTGAACAGGTGGCTTCTCAGCCTTCCTCTGTATTCTATTGGGGTGGGGAGGAGGTGATTCCGTTAGGACAGTGATTTTTTTTCTTCTTCTTTTTTTTTTAAGAGACAGAGTCTCATTTTGTTGCTCTCGTAGAGTGCTGTGGCATCACAGCTCACAGCAACCTCCAACACCTGGGCTTAGGCGATTCTCTTGCGTCAGCCTCCCGAGTAGCTGGGACCACAGGCGCCTGTCACAACACCCGGCTATTTTTTGTTGCAGTTTGGCCAGGGCTGGGTTTGAACCCACCACCCTTGGTATATGGGGCCAGTGCCCTACCCACTGAGCCACAGGAGCTGCCCTAGAACAGTGATTTTCAATCAGTATGCTGTAGCACACTGGTGTGCTATGAAAAATTTTAAAGACCATAAATTAAATATTTTCAAAAGAAGGTCCAAGCACTGGAGCCGGGTTTGAACCCACCACCTCCAGTATATGGGGCCAGTGCCCTATTCCTTCAGCCACAGGCATTGCCCAGTATATTCTTTTTTTTTTTTGCTGTAGTTTGGCAGGGGCCGGGTTCAAACCTGCCACCCTTGGTATACAGGGCCGGCGCCCTACCCACTGAGCCACAGGCACCACCCTTTTACTCTTTTTTTTTTTTTTTTTTTTTTGAGACGGAGCCTCAAGCTATCCCCCTGGGTAGAGTGCCATGGCATCACGCTCACAGCAACCTCCAACTCCTGGGCTCAAGCGAGTCTCCTGCCTCTGCCTCCCAAGTAGCTGGGACCACAGGCGCCCGCCACAGCGCCTGGCCATTTTTTTTTGGTTGCAGCCATCATTGTTGTTTGGCGGGCCCGGGCTGGGGATTCGAACCCGCCACCTTAGGTGTATGTGGCTGGCGCCTTAGCCACTTGAGCCACAGGCGCCGAGCCTTTACTCTTTTTTTTGATCAATATACTTTAAGTGTGCCATGGAAGTTTAACTATAGGTTCAAATGTGCTGTGAGATAAAAAAAGGTTGAAAAACACTGCTTTAGAATGTTCTCTGTCCAGAATTCCAAGGACAGGAAGCTCACTGTGTCCACTACTGGACAGTTCTCTTTGTTTAAAAACTCATCTTTGTTCTGAGCTCCAAGCAGCTTCCTGTAATGCCCACCCCTGGTCCAGGTTCCTAAAGGTGCCCAGGAGAGTGTTAAGCTCCTATACATAGGTCATTCTCCAGAATCCAGCCCCAGAAGTGTTTTTTGTTTTTTGTTTAGAGACAGTCTCACTATGTCACCCTCGGTAGAGTGCCATGGTGTCACAGCTCACAGCAACCTCCAACTCCTGGGATTAGGTGATCCTCTTGCTTAGCCTCCCAAGTAGCTGGGACTACAGGTGCCCACCACAATGCCTGGCTATTTTTTGTTGCATGCCTGCCTCGGTATATGGGGCCGGCGCCCTACTCACTGAGCCACAGGCACTGCCCCCCAGAAATGTTTTTTTATTTTCCTCAGAGATAGTTCTTGTTTCTCTGTTTTGTTTTGTTTATTTTTAAGACACTCTGTTGCCCCAGGCTAGAGTTCCATGGTGTGACATCTCACAGAAACCTCAAACTCCTGAGCTCAAGTGATCCTCCTGCCTCAGTCTCTGAAGTAGCTGGGACTATAGGCACCTGCCACAATGCCCAGTTAATGTCTGGCTAGTTTTTCTATTTTTAGTAGAGACAGCCTCTTGCTCAGGCTGGTCTCCAACTCCTGAGCTTAAGCAAGTCACCTGCCTTGGCCTCCCAGAGTGCTAGGATTATAGGAGTGAGCCACATTGTCTGGCCTAGTTCTTGCTTGTTACTTTGGCAGGTTTGGGATCTCTTTACTCCCTCTTCCTGTCCCCTTCAGACACAATAGGGCTGTGAGAGTGTCCCTGAAGGAGAGGGCCCTAGGACTAACACCTGTCCTCCCTCCCTCTCCTGACTCCTTCCTCCAGAGCAGGCTGGGATGCCTGGCACTTACATCTTGGGGGCACCTGAGTCATCTTGAGCAATTTTGCTTCTAACGTACCTTTCCCTGGGCTTTTGGGCTGTTTTTGTCCCAAGTCCTCTCTGGAGCTGGGGAATCTCTCATATCTATCATTCTTTTCTCTGGTGGTCTAGTCGCCTGCTGTCCTATCTACTAGCCACTAGCCACATGTAGCTTTTTAAATTTTATTTAATTTTAATTAATTCAAATTAAAAAACCGATGTTTAATTCCATTTTTGGTAAACTTTTAAGTAGGTTTGGATCAACTTAGGTGTGTAAGTCTATTTTTCTAACTGTAAATTGTGTGATGAAGTATTTCTAATAAGAATTTTGAGTCCAAAAGGAAAAAAAAACACACAAGAAAGAGAAAAAAAAAGAATTCCAAGTCTAAAGTGTGATGTGCAGTAGATATAAAATGTCTATTGGTGCTTGGCGCTATGGCTCAAGTGGCTAAGGTGCCAGCCACACACACCTGAGCTGTGAGTTTGAATCCAGCCCCAGGCCCTCCAAACAACAATGATGGCTGCAACCAAAAAATAGCCAGGCACCTATAATCCCAGTTACTAAGGAGGTGGAGGCAGGAGACTCGCTTGAGCCCAGGAGTTGGAGGTTGCTATGAGCTGTGATGCCACAGCACTCTACCCAGGGTGACAGCTTG